ATTTATGATAATTAGAGATTGAAAAAATCCTTTTTAACATTTATCTCCTATAATAATCTAATTTATGAATCCGTTTGTACAAAATAGCGTGTACTTTAATATGCTTTTAACATTTACATTTTGTTAAAATTTATTAGCATTTATGATATGTATATATATATATATATATATAACAATATTTGCAGGAAAGATTTTCAGAAATTTGAAAATTATAAATGAAAATGTCACAAATGGAAAGCATAAATTCTAACTCGAAATATCGATTTCCATTTTCTAAATGCAACTTTACTGCACTAAAGTTATTAACAAGCGGAAATAGCGCTGATATTCTTAACTATTGGAAATCGTGTATGTGCGCGTCTGTGTTCAATACTCCGAAAATATCCTTTAAAACATGTATTTGTTCGGATTATCCTAGCTCACTCAGATTTAAAATCGGTTCGAGATTAAGAGTTGTAATAAAACCCAGACAATACCGTGTCCTCATTTTGGATATGTTGTCTGGGAAATAAATTTTGATTAGGGGATTGATTAATGACAAATTAAGGAAACATCAGTTTCTTCTTACATCCGAGAGGAGGTTTATCTGCAATGTGTACATGTGTCTGTCTAATAGCGAGCAGTGTCCCGCCAGTCTTACATGTTTCAACGCGCAATCGCGCGCATCCTCGCGTTCTCGTCCTTATCATCGTCGCATTTTTATATAGGTTGCATCCGCCCCGCTAAAGGCGCTTGAACCCAGTGACGGGGCGAACGACCTTTAATCCTGTCTCTCTCTCTCTCTCTCTCGCGAGGCCCCCATGTATACATGAACACTCCGTGGAGCGTTTTCTTTGACGTCAGAGGGCAATCATGCAACGTCGTAAAGCGAACATAGAACCCTACAGTCGAAATGCTTCGGGTGGTTCCGTCGTAAATTCGCACTCCCACACGATTGATTAGTTGTCCTGATCCTATGAGAGATAAGTTGAAAGGAATTCATAGAAAGGTACTAATAGAAATAGATGGATTAAAGGGAATTAAAGAAAATTCATTCCTGTGAGATCACACAGGTTGAACGTCCGGAATCAAATATGACTTATGACATTCTTCGACTTATAACCCTCTATGCATTATTATATTACCTCGATTATCACTAAGCTCAATGTAGCTAAAAACGAATTGAAAGCAACTTTACCTAATTATAAAAATAAAAACATATATAGATAGAAGAATAAAAGTAGCAGAAAAGAATTTAATGAATAGAAAGAAGTCTTCAATTCGTAATTCTAAATTTTGAAATAGAAGATTAAATTTTTATTGACATCTTTTCATTCAACTATTTTCAGAAAATATCGAAACTTTATGCATATTCCAGAATAGATTTATATTAAAAATTCCCTATTTAAAAAAAAAAAATCTATTTCTAGGATTATATATCAACCACGTTCGAAAATATAGATGTCTTTTCACAAACGAATTTGTTAGATTGAAAATGATTAAGATGTAGTGTCGCTGCAACCGCGGTGCACCGATCACTACGTGCACCGATACATGTGGAACGTTGTCCGTACGATGATATATAAATAGGTTGGACGGCATGAAAATAGACATCGGGGCGTTGGACCGGAGGATCGATGACGATACTCGTCCCCGGTGGCGGCTTGCCCGGCTTTATTTTTCGTCAAGTAACCGCATTACGCGACTTGGTCGAGACAGCACGTCTGCGTGAGAAGGCGCCTAACATCAACTTGTATTATCTTTTGATGTATATTTATATTTCAGTTCTATACGACATCATAAATTTAACTTTTTCAATTCTGGTATTTAAAACATTGGATATATATAACTTTTTTTATGTTCTTATTTTTAGCGCGTAAACGTATTATTTTACAACTGTTTGGTATCGTTTTCCTCTACAAATATATTTTGATGTATACAATGTTTAATTCATTTCACGAAATTCTGATTTATTACAAATAAAAGAGAAAAAAGAGATAACATCTGTTTGATAGTTGCTCTTCTGTTTGATTACTACATACAATTTTTGTTCTATGATATAAGAAAGGATAGAATTATTGTTTTTAATAGTTATAAATATTATATTTATTTTTTATAACAATGCAAATTATTGAATACTTTTTCTTAATCTTTTCTACAATTTTTTTTTACAATATTTAAAATTATTTTTTCTATAAATAATTGTTTTATGTTTTAATGTACTTGAATTTTTTTAAATTGCTGTTTCGTTTGTGTTCTATTAAGAATTGAATAAAATTTCTATAACAAGAATAAACATTCTTTTTTTAAATTTTAATATCTCAAAAATAATTTTTTATTAAAATAGAAATAAATATTAAAAATGAGAATACCATTTTGTTTTGTCGTCCTAGTTTTAATACAGACTTTTTAATTAATGATTTCATCAATTTTACTGATCTATTAATTTAATCAGATATTAATAAATATAATAAAAGTAATGGAATGGTAAGAGCAATTTGTTGAATAATTTTATTGTTTTTCCGATGCTCGCAAATGTTACGCGCGTGCATTAGTTATTGACTTTTGAATTGGACCAATCGATTAAATCTCTCATCGTGTGTTATGTGACGATGCGTTCAAACATACCTGCACACTGTATATGTACTTGATGTCCGCTTTGCGGAGATAGCGTCCTGTCAAGTATCCAGTCGGTTCGGCGCTTGTCAAAACAAGCCGCTGAGAATACTCGCCACGTGGATGGAAATAGCGGCACGCCAGTCCAAAATACGTGCGCATCGGAAGGAAGATGATGGAACGCGGGTGCATGTCGAGACATTCGTTTGATGCATGTACGCCAGTGGTGTAACTAATGGCCTCAAACACCCATAATGCATGGCGTTGCTAGTGAAATTAAAAACTAGAGAAGAGAGAAGTAAAAGGAAAAGAAAAAGTAAAGAGTCAGGAAAGGGGAAAGGAAGAAAACAAGGATAAGAAACAGAAAAAAAGAAAAGAAAAACTAAGAGAGAAGAAAGGCAAACATTGAGAAAGGAAAAAGAAGTAAAGAAGGATATTAAACTTGTTATCAACGAAATGATTTTATCGACAATAAATTATTACGAGAAAAATGAATATTCTATATTTTTTTCTCAATCTTTCATATCAAATTATTATAATTGTCTCGGTTAACACCGTAATAATGAGCTTGTTGTATGTTCACAATGTTGAATTTTACACGTGTTTATACATTTGGATTGAAAACTATATATTGGAATACATAATATGTATAATGAAGAAACGGGAAAGTGGGCCGAGGATATGTCACAGCTTGTGGGTCGCTCAGTAAAGATTAAATAAGTAAAGGTCTTAAAATATTCTTTGGAGTATTACGTACTCGCGTGTCAACGAATATCAGAACACTTCACATCGCAGACGATGAATTTATCTTGGCACTCTTGGGATCGAGTAAATGACATCTAGGTGCTCTCATCAAACGTCATAAGAATGACAAACATGCAGATGTATTTGATGAGAAATTGGATGTAGCGTCAATTAAAGATAAGATCATGTTCTTATAATATCGAGATAAAATCAGTGGCATACAAAGAAAGGAATTAAAAAGTTTAAAATTGTAATATATTCCGAAATTTAAAAAATGTAATATCTCTCTATATTAAATAAATGAGGAGAATATATCACGAAGAAAATAATATTCCAAGAATATTTTACGGATTTCACTTAGTCGGTTAACATTAAATTACGTTAAAAGAGTTACAAATTTAATTTTTAATCATCCGATATTTTTACTTTTTCAATATGTTCTCAGAATTACCAATTTATTATTTATTATAAATATATTATTTTTGCGTATTTTAATTTCTTTTGAAAACTTCCGAGAAAATATATCAATTTAATTTATTAAAATATGAGGATTAAAAAGTTTTACAATTTTAGATGAACAAACAGGGTATATAGTTTTAATTTGAGAAGATCATGAAATATACATGTATTTACATGAAGATCTCATTAAATATTATCAAAATTATCTAAATTATGTATTATCAAAATTATGTTGTTCTAGAACAAAGGTATATGCTTCTCTTCCCTACATTGAAGGAAGTTTCAAGTGTTCTCGAGATTCACGAAATAATTAGACTGCCTCTTGCAAGGTTCACCTTTGCCTCGGCTATTCGCGTGCACGTCCAAAAAAAGTGGAAATTTCGCGTGTTCTTACCCTGACATCAAGGTCGAGCTGGTTTAAATTTCTACATAATTAAAGTTGACTAATGACCTTGCTAATGGTGCGCATGCTTAATTTCTTGATATAAATGCAAATATTTAATGACGTGATATTCTGCTTGATATTATGTAACATTATTGGTAATTTCCATGCATGATCTAGAAATGTGTACATCTGTCGATCTTTCCGTCAATTATTACATGATGAGGCTACAAGAATCGTAGTAAAAAATACGATGTATATAACAACGCCTGTTACATCGCGCATCTATTCGCTTCGATAGGGTGATCCCGCAGAACGAGAGGCAGGGTGATTCGCTTTCAGTTGGCCCGGGTATCCAGGGTTCGTCGTCATAGCGACACCCGAGCCATGGCTAACCACCCCATTCTATACTATAGTCGGATGTAGACCGCGTAGGTTGAAAAATCTGAACGACGCGCCCTAATTAATCCGCTGATGCACAATTCAATTTGCACTCTCGCTAAAAGTTACACAAGACATAATCTAGATAATGGATTTACGTATAGGCAAGGTAGATAATTACTTTGATGTCAAGCTTCTCGATAACGAAATCAAGTTGAACAAAAAAGAATCTTAATTTAATATAGATAGATTTAATCAGGATTAATGTAAATGCTAATAATGAACTATAATAAAAATTAATTATTTTAATTTAAGAATAAGTAAAATATATATAATTATATATATTATAAAATAAGAGTCATGGGGAAATTAATAACACTTTTTGTATCAATTTTATGCAATTTCAAGATTTATTTCAATATATACAAAACATTGCTTCATATTAATGGAGGCTTTGCACGCCGGCTTCCTTGCAAAAGTTCCTCCACTCATTTATCTTATCACTCAGTCAATTCGGACAATACGGAGGACTAGTAATGAGATAATAACGATTGTCCGAATATTGTAGAATAGCGACGTCATAATGTTCGCGCGTATATACTTCCACATTCAACGTATAAATATATAGAAACACGCATTCGTATGGATTCCGATCGTTAACGCGTTCTTTACGCCGATCTTTACGAGTACACAATTCATCCGGATAATGATCCACTTGCGGGATATTCTAGAAAGAGATCCGTGCACGAGTCTCACACGTTGCGATTTATTTACTGGTGATTTTATGTCTGCGGAAAATCACGTGCGTCGAAAGCGAATAAAAATAAATCGGCACCACTTTTTCCTCAATATATTAGGAGCTTTTCTAACTCAGTCTTCTAATTTTATGTTCGCGTTATTCGAATATTCGTAAAATATAAATCAGTTTTATTCGACGTACGATCGCACGTGAGAATAGAAATTGATGTAATTATGTACAATACAATTAATGTAATAAAATTATAATAGGAAGAGAGTATTACATTAATTTCTGATTATGACACGAATTAACGTGTGAATTAAAATACCCAATCGCAACAAGCAAGCAATGAATTTGGCAACCGATTCGTCGCGAAACGCCCATTTTATATGTTGTTACTCGTAGGCGTTTTAATGCAAGATCGTTAGCGAAAGATTATTACAATTGTTGGAATCGCAACGTGCATGCAATATTAAGCTATACCTATATCACCGTTACGAAATGGCATAACTAATTGTACAAACGGAACCTCTATGCGCTACACCATAAACTGCTACAAGAATATATGTGTACTATATTTGCCTACGTATATACGTACACACGCATATTTATATATACATGTCTAGCACGAATGCGAATATATACCTGGCTATGTAAATGTATCTACATTTGTGTGATTTACATCTTGTTGATACTTCCGATAACAATCCATCTCGCGTTATGATTCCTATTCGCATCTTTCGGCTGCAGTAGATTCTTAAACGTTTTCGGCATTTTTTTTCGACATGAATTATTTATTGAATTTATATTGTGATAAAAATGTTAAAAGATACAGATTTCTCATTTACATAGCAAAAAAAAAATCTTTCTTCATTTACCGATTATTATGGAATAAGAATAGATTGTTTCCGAAAATGTTTCCATGAAGTTACTCTAAGTTTGGAGTTATGATCTCCAATTCTAGGAATCCCTGGATTATACAGTCTTCTTGTTTCCTTATTTCTTGCCTAACAATCGAGATTACACCACTAACGATAAGTAATGTAAACAGAATGGGATTTCAGATTTGAATGATATACAAAATAACTTTAAATGACTGTCTGACCTCGCGCTTAATTGCGCATAAGTCATTAATAAGACCATCGGTTTACCAGAACAACTGACTAATGCAAAAATCATATGCACCGGTATTATTGTCTCTATAGTTAGTACATCAAGCTAATTATCAGAGTTTACTACCATTCTTTTGGTCGCATATTCTTTTTCTTTCTTTCTTTTCTATTTAGATATTTATATATCACATTTATACTTAATTGCTAGAGCATTTTACGATCAAGAGACATATTTCATTTCTGTTTCGAATTTCCAAACCAACATAAAATTCTAAACAGAGGGATAACTTCTATGAGACCAAAATGTTTAAATATCTTCATGACATCTTTTGTGTATTAACTTTTGTTGCATTAATTGCGATTATACCATTTTCAACACCAATCTATACAAATATCATTGTCTCTCGAATTTGTCCGCAATCTTTCATTCTTACTAATTAAACAAGTTCAGTAATTGGTCCGCTTATGATTAGCTTTTCGACACTTTGGAAATATCGCAGAAACAGGGTCATGTTCCGCTTTTTTCGCATAGCACTCGAATAAGTTCCGGAAAGTGTCTCTCGGCTAGGTAGCTCTAGCTGATTATTTGGCACATCTCGAGGTCGGCATGTAGAAACTGCCCATTCGGAACTTACTCGGTTCCTCCTGAGTGACCCGAAGGCACGGCTCGCTGCAAGTTCTCACTATCTCTCACATGTCCTCCGTGCTGAAGCTGCTGATCAGACCGGGCTCTGTGTCTATGTTAGAATCACATTGCATTACCCATTCCCATATCCTCTTAGTGACGACTTTCTGGTCCACCGTAGTCTCCAGGCCGTAACTGTTAAGTAGCTTTCTTAATTTATTCTTGTTTTCATCTACGTTATGCCGATCGTCCAGAATAGTATCTAGATAGAGTAGGCTATCCCCTCGCCTGGCAAGGCTCTCGCTAACATCGACCGACGTCGACGTCGCACTGTGGCTGATCTTACTAATACACCACGAATCCTTTAGGTACTTGTTGATCTCGGTCACATGAGGCCTCTTCTCCGGCTTGTGTTCGAATGCTCGCCTGAAGTATCGAAGTAGTCTAGGAGTGAAGCGACGGAAAGTCGGTGGGATTTTGGTGGTACGTCTCTTCAGCCATCGTTGGAAGGCCGAATAGTCTGGGTCTTGGATCGGATCGGCGCTCTGCCATGGCGGGTTACCGGTCAGACAAACGAAAAGGACAATGCCAAACTGCCAGCAGTCTGAGCTCCTCTTGCAAGCATACCTTTCGTTCTTGATGATCTCGTGAATCTCTGGAGGTTGAAACGGCACCCAAGTACAACGGATCTTATTCACAAGGGTGCCTTCGCGCTTTGTGCAGCCGAAGTCGCATAGCTTCACTTTGCTCATGTCCTGCGCGAACACTAGCACGTTCTCCAACTTGATGTCACGATGGGCCAGTTGTTTTGAATGGATAAAATCGAGGGCCGAGGCGAGTTGACCAGCAATTTTCTTACAGGCATCCTCGTTGAGCCCGCCGGCTTTCACATTGCCAGCGAGATCGCCGTAGGGCGCGTATTCCTGTGCGAAGACGAAACATTTCTCCGCCTTAAAGGCGACTGCGTACGAGCAGAGTATATTAGGATGCGGGCTTAAGTGGTACGAATAATGGAATTCCCGGAAGAAGTCCTTTTCCGACGTGAGTTCTTGATGAACCGCTTTTAGAACCACTCTTGTCTGAGTGGTTCTGTGCGTTGCCAGTAGAACTTTCGCGAAACTACCTTCGCCTAGAGTTTTCTCCACATTGTACTCCTTCGATAAGTCCAGTTCCTCGAGGGATACCTCTTGGATTCTGTGAATGCCTGATTCTTTCTTCTCGTGCAGCTTCATCTGGAACAAAAAAAGAATACAGAGTTTTAGACAGATTGATCTTTCTACTTTCAAATATAGAGAGATAGTGCAAATCTGTATTGCAAGCGATACTTATGAGAGATCTTACAAAAAATTGAATATAATAGTACGATTAGATTAAAGAGAATTATTTTATTTTAATTTAAATTATTTATTTTTTTCTTTTTAGACATTTTAATATATTATCGTATTATTATTTAAATTAGTTTTATTCTATTTTCATCGTTATTCTAATAAAGCCTGACTTTTTATCCTTGCTATTTTCAGTTCATATAGGCGTAACGTATTTGTCCTTGCCATTTTCGTTTTGTATAGACCGCCTCTTCGTCGAGACCGGAAATTAGAATTTCATCTGTCCATATTGAAGGACTTCAACATTGATTTTATACTCGGATAACTCTGTGTTAAAGGAATATTATCTTCGTCTCCCATAGGGACAATGGATCTCATATACGACGCCTACAATCGTCAACGCGACAAACGTACGATCGTATTGAGGGACGTTCCTACGCTTCCTTCCGTAAAAAGATAATATTCACTCTTCTTCTCCGATCGTGCAATGCGCGTTCTAGTTCATAAATAGCAACGCGTAGATCAATCGCGGTTCTATGATATATCGAGAACACGTGCGATATTGTGGGCCGCGCGAGGTAGAAGCTGTCTGAAGAAAGATTGTCCCGATGACGTAACCATTCTTTAAATGAAAATGCACATCTTTTTCTATAAGATCTATTTTTTGAAAAAAAATTACGTAAAAGATCTGAGTATTTTTACTGATCATATTTGAATAAAGAAAACATATATAACATAATAATAAAGCCTTATTTTTTAAAATAAAAAGTAAAAGTTACTTTACATATTTAATTGTTATTCTAATTTGAAAGTTAATATCTAGAACTGTATATTACTCCGTTTGAAATTTATGAGGAAAGCTGATGTATGATTTAAACTTTGACATGGAAAATTCGATTATAAACAGATTCACAGAATTTATAGATGAAAGCAAGTACTGAGAATTCGCACGTAGTTATGTTATACAACGAAAATTATGTATTTTCACCGATAAAATGCACAAACTAGAATTCATCGGAATCCATTTATAGTTATTGCATAACAGCAACATTAAGCAGACATTGATCTAGCTAACGATACTTCATGTGGTTTTGAGTGCCATTTCTCTTCCAGCCGCGTGATTTCGCACGTGCGTCATTAAACGCCGCGGTGCATCTGCTATCTCGTATAAATGGAATCGTGTGTTATATTCTCGCTCAATTTTATGATCACGCGTCTTGAGAATCGATAATTTTGTTGATAGAGCGCGGCAAGAAGAGTTTTTGGAACATCGCTACTAGAGATAGCAATCCTTGTTCTCTTCGCGCGCACCATCGTGGTACTTTTTCTTTGCCGTTTTCGTTGAAAAGAGCTGTACACTCGCGGTGCAGCGGAAAGCCTGAGAGTCGGACCGGAGGGTGGCCGGGTGAACCCAGGACATTTAGACCCTCGCTAGATCAATAGCGAGAACCGTTCACGCTTTGGTCGACGACGCGTGAGCCTGATCGGCACTGAATCCCAAAACTTTCCAAGCTTGCACGCGATTTTTGTTTTCGCGAGACAGTGTCATGCATTCGTTGATTTGTCGTCCAATTTCATCGCGTTTGTAACGGTAAATAAGAAAACAGTTAAATGTGTCATAAAATAGACCGCGTATGGTAAAAGATAGGTATACATATATAGATGGTAGATCGATAGAGTTTCCTTTATTTTCGGCGAATCAAGGATAATTTGAAATGTTATATATTTAGTTTACATTCAAATGTAATTTAAATGAATTGAAAGCCAGATAGACAGAGATAGAAAATACGATAAATTGTTAATCGTTATCTTACGTCACTTACATACATAATCAGTTCTTAAAAATACAAAAATTAATATTTGTGAATTTTTGGTTACTTGCATTTATATTATTTATAATATATTGTTATTTAATTCAATACGTAACGATAATGAAGGTATACATATTCATATCTAAAAAAAGATTTAAAGGCTAATGAGGTAGAAATTGTTCTATGTTCTCAGTAATTTCGAAAGATCATTTTTTATCGAACTACAACACATATATCATTAAGAGACACTTAAATCACACGAAAGCAAACATCGTTCATTTAACGATGAACATTTATTTACTTCGGATCGTTCCATAAATTTCTGGAGATCCGAGACACAGCGTAAATGTCATCATGTGACGAAACGAATGCAGTATGACGCGACAGACTTGTGGGTGGCGGTGGTCATGTATATTTTAATAACGCGATGTATCATATTGGGTACGGGACGAAGTTACATATTGAGAACCTTTCCATTTCAATTATTAACGAAATGTACAATGTTACATGTCCTTGCCTCGTAAATATGTGTATTTACTGTACAACCATTGTAAAAACGTCGCTCATCTTTGAATTTACTTTTTGTAATGTAATGACTTTAATTTTGATAAATTGGAGATAACAATGATGTCTCCCGTTTTTCTATTTTCTGTTCATTGTTTCGTGTCATGGTTATTTTTTCACATAACCACCGGTTCGTACCGGTTAATTCTGACAAGCCTCAGAGGCACAGATATATTTAGCATTTATGTTTACTGAGCACTCTATTTTAATACACGCGAGTTAGTGGCGTTATACTTTGGTGTGCGTGCATACTGCGTGTTTAATGAGGCAATTTAGTCGATATATATATAGAAATCGACAACTTATAGGAACCACAAGTGTCTCGGAAATCGTGTTATCTATGTTAAGCCTTTAGACATTTATAGAAGTACAGTGTGTTACAGTAGATTATAATGATAATTTTTTAAGGTTTCTTATGGTTCATTAATAATTTATTATAAGTTTTTGCATTCCTTATTTTTTTATTGTGATAATTTTAATATAGTTATAAAATTCGTAAACATCATTAAACATAGCATAATTTTGAAAGTATAAGATTTTTATAAAATATCTTTAACTCTCAGCAAGCACGTCTTCCAGAATCTCGTCATATAAAAAAACGAATTTCAATATTCATAAATTTTTTTAATTGTGGATAAAAAAATTTCGTTGTAAAACTCAACAAGATATTTGCTGAGAATTAAAGTATCGGCACTAGAAAATTTGTGCAGAGTCGTATATTAAGTTACGCAGCTACAATGATTGCGAAGTGATAACACGGCATAGATACGTACCACGGCGATAAAATTCGTTTGACAATTGATAGAAACGTCACTTCACTCTGGTACACTGTCTTCAATGTATATGTATATCGATAAATACGCGTACAAATCACTCTTGCTCGACTAAATTCCGATTAGCTTGTCCTCAGTTACATCTTCATATCGCGACGAGTCCTGACACCCGTGTGTATCAGCTGCTCACAAGTATCACAAACGCCGAATCAAGTCAGCGCGCGTAATAGGAATTATGTCAGCCGTGTTCTCTGACAGTTTCGCTTTTGGAGCAGGTGTCACTTGAGAGACGGAAATAGAGACTCCGATAGCGAGGTATCGATACGACGACCGCTTGGTTACATTTTCCGTGGTGCGCGTATCTCAAACGTCTGGAGCGTCGTGACGCTCCGCGTCGCTTTTATAGACCCGGTCGGGAGGCGCGCAGACGTGGATTGTAAAAGGGTGCGGGATACACGACGACGTCGGTTGTAGGACGAACGTAACGCCGCGTCGCGCGATGGCTTTTTTTAACAAGCACATTATGCGAATCGACGAGTCGCGTTGTTACGGTGAGACGGACACTTCGATAAATAGAGGAAGTTACCTGGGATGGGATACATCACAGAACTCTTCCACGTGTCTACATTGATCGATTATATGCTATTCTTAGACATGAGTTGCCATATTCGTGTTTAGATAAAAAAAAGTCTAATTATAGTTCTATTATACGTCGATCAAATGTTTACACAAAAAAGTTTCCATCTATATGTACTCTATATGTGTTGATCAAATTATCGATTTAATTACAGAAAGATAGTAAATATTAATTATATGCACACAAGTAGAATTAAAAAAAAAATTTAATTATATATATATATAAATTTCTCTCTCTCTCTCTCTCTCTCGCCCCATTAATTTTCTATAACCGAATATATTGCTCGTACGTGTTCGATAATAGCGCATTCTTGAAATTTAGGAGCAAGGACTCGATAACTATTCACGAATAATAAGAATTCTTGCGAACTAAAGCATTGCGCGAGATGTGGTGGAAGCAGAACCTTATAGATACAATTATAACCGCTCAATTGTTTGACCCAGCAATATAAATTATCCAAAAAAACGACCAATAAACGAGCAAATTAAAATGTTAAATTAGCAATTAACGTATATTTGAATTCAGCGACAATAAACTTAGAGATACATATAGAAATTAGAAAACGACATATACCATTTTTTCTTACTGATTAATATAGGGAGAGAATATCCGTTTTTTATTCTTCAAGTCACTCTTTATTGTCTGCCTGGCTGTGAATCTTGCAAGCATAAAGCCATTTTGATATCAGTCGAATTTGCAAAGTATATTTTTGTACCTGCACGAATGGATTATTGACACGAACCGACTTAAAGTGAATTTATTGACTTTCCGCCGTCAGTTTAATATTCCAGCTTCCATGAATATAAAGCCAAATAAGAGAGGTATCGTCACGCGATCGTCTTCTGCACATTTAATGATTTATAATTTATTATTGTAATTGTATTCTCTTGTATGCATTTATCGCATTGTAATTTTAGAAAGTTTTAATTGCTTCTATTTATATCTAAATGTAAAATAATTGAAATGTCCTGGATTTATTACAAATTTTATATCTGCCTCTTGCGGATATGTTACAATTGATATCAGTTGTTTTAAATTCATCACGTTGTTAAATAATACAGATTACGCATCCGTCGCATATCCGAATTTACACCTGAAAGTATTTTTAAAATGTATGTCAAGTATACGGAGAGTCCATAGAGATGTTCAACTGTACAGCCGGATATTAAAGATATAAATAGGAGAAACGGTCGCGCAATGGAAATAAAAAATTATTACAAGCACAAATTATTGTGTAATCATGACGAGTCATCGGCTCACGTCCCCTAATTCGTAAATCACGCGAAAGATTTTGACGTCGGCAAATTTCGAGAATCAGAACTTAGGATACACGGAAATACGTCGGCGTCATCGAACTTGTACATCTGCATATATACATATGTATCTAATAATGAGTACAAATCCTGTGAGACAGCAAGCAGAATAACAGAGTTGATTTATAGATATGAAAATCCCGAGATAATCTGACTTTTATTAGCAACAAAAAGTAAGCCTGTAAATGTCTGACGTAATCGGTGGATCTTGCTTCGCGGTAACGTCTTCTTTCTATAATTAGATTTTCGCGGATGCGACTATTGTCTATTTTGTGAAGCAACTGGCTAATCGTGCAACACTAGTCTCGTGCGTTTGCCAAGCAGCCACTGAACTTTAAGAACATTTATCATTCGCAAAAGACTTCTTCCACGATCATACTTTCGCCAGTACAAATTTTGTCATCTAACGATACTTGGAAGTTTGCAGGAAAGGTACTAAAATAATTCACATTCAGCTTCATACATCTTACTAAATCCAGCTTAAGCTATTCCCGGGAAAAATCTATTTTATGTCAACGTTGGGTAAACAATGGTATATACACGAGACATTACCATTAAGGCAGATGTAGCGCGAGGAGTTCTTCGAATGCTGAATATTGACTAGAAAGCGAATCAGGACAGAGGATGAAAAGAGAATAAAAAAGAGGGAAGGAAAGAAAAGAAGAAAAGTATATAAGGGAAAAGTTGTGTCGAAGAGAATTTATCTTCGATACAAGTCTGTGAATATAGTCCACCTACGCGAAAACAAATATACAGATACACATATCGATATCGCCCACATGTGGATTCGCGAGATGAGAGCAATTCAGATTATCGCGTACACGTACACAATAATGACGCAATTTACGAGTAAAAAGAGCCGCGCAAGAAGAAGAACAAGAGAGCTCTCGCGGAGTGCCACTGGCGACCGAATTGAGAGTAGGTGTATAATTATCGAGTCAATGGTTTCGCGGAACGCTGTTGACGAAACATCTATATTGGAGAACTACGAGATTTTCATCGCAAACTGGCGTATTCGGATTTTGAGATCTTTATCCCTGCGTATATTTTCTTATATTTCTTATTTTATCTTCTAGTTGAATTTGACATCGATTTCTCTTAAAATGAAATTTTGACGGAATATCATAATTTATAATATATAAATTGATATACTCTACATTAAAAGATTAAGCGATCATCTATTCTACCCTTCAAAAATAAATAATTTTCAAAAGAGTGTAACTTTGTCAACAATAATCATAAGGAAATGATTCAAAAAGCATTTTAAAGCTTAAAGTCTCTACTTTCTAGATCGGTACTTTAGATAATGATCTGATTTTTCCCAGTGCTACACGGATACAATAGAGATCTGTCTTGGATCCGTTAAACCTCTCGAAATTTTTTATGAACTTGGCAAAGTTAATGACGTGAATTAAAAATTGCACACAAATGCAATTTACAATTTTTTAAAAAGTAAATCTTCACTTTTAATTTATGTACTTGTTAATTGTTGTGCAATTTTTTTTTACTGAGTTATTTTGCATTGAAGCACAGAAAACGAACGGAATAGCGCTCGATATTTATTAAAAAACGAATAAAAAAGTCTAAGTTTTCTTTTTAAGATACATTTATCATATATATATTGTTTTAGAATCCTTTTAAATCATTCCATGATTATGATTATCTTTGAAATAATCATAAATTGATAAATGATCGAAATTTAACTATTTTAGAAAGGCATAATAGATGATTTTAATTTTTTGGAGCAGTGTAGTTTAGTATATTTAATTCAATATATTTAATAAAGAGTTTTTCAATGTAAACAGTTTCCTGCTTTGTAAAGTATATTATGACTTCTGACGCTGGATTTTGGCGATTACCAGATTACTTTCCTTGTACTACTGCAACTGAAGATTCTAAGAGATTTTGTAACAATGAGATTCTAAGAGATTTCCGCTAACTCAAAAAGTTGATTTAACTTTGGCTCAGTTTAATAGGATGGGCGCTTTTATTTTTGCCGTTGTTTTCGGACATTAATCATTGCAGCTGTAATAAACAAAAATATATACATGACACACATCGCGTCACTATTAAAAAAAAAATGCAATTCTGCGAAAATACTATACTCTGATATCAAACTTTTCTCTTTCTAGTATCTTTGATTTTCCTTATTGCTTTTTCAGTTTATTTATCTTTTGCATTTATATTTATCGACAAGTTTAATTGTAACTTTGACAACTAATTAGACTGTTACTTCTTATTAAGTTATTTTGTAATTCATTTTTCGAGCAAATAAAACATTACGATTAAACATCGTGACAAGAAAAAAATAATAATTGAAAAAGCAAAGAGTTTTATTCTTATTGCATAGATACATAAAATAGGAAAATACTTTATTTATTTTATAATTCTGATTAACTTTATTTCCATATGGGGGAGGGGGGTATAATAAGGTAGTATTTTTGTTCTTAAAATGTTAGTGGTATCTAATTGATAATCTTGATTCGTTTATAAGAGGATTCTCTTCTGTCCTGTTCTATGAGGTTGAGATAAACCCGTGCAGGACTCAGTACTTCCTTAATTGCGCAGTAACTGTTTTACATTTGCGGCGAACGACAAACGGCGCCGGAGATTATCGTTCGAGGGAAAGAAGCAAACATACGGTTCATGTTGCTTACTTACCTTAACATCGCAACGTGCGTCAAACCGCCTATTTTTAGACTTCTCTGTTTTCAGTTAGAACGTTAAGAAAAAAGCACGGCAGCGCATGAAGCAGGTGTCGAAACGCTACGAATAATAACAACACGGGTAAAGAGGCGATGATGACTAATTTAAGAATCGCGATGCATGCATTATTTTAATGCATCCGATCAAATACGCCATACATGCGTTCGTTGCTCCCATTCAAGGGTCATTTATGAACCGTTTATATAGGAGTACCCTCAAATTTATGTTCATGCTTCATGTGTTAATAATGCATGTTATAAATTCAGAAGCATTTGTTACACAAATTAACTTAAGCAAAAATATCGACAAAAGCTTTCCAGTTCATTAGAAATAAAAAGCGAAATTTGGTGGTTGTTAATAGAATTCAATACATATTGGATCAATAACATACATTATAAAAATCTTCCAATAGAATTGGCAATATATTAGATCACATGTTTAAAATGGAAAAGTATATTAGAAATAGAAATATAATTTGTATAGATTGTATAGTATACAAGTTATAATATATTTATAACTTGTATTATGAAATAAAAAAACGCAAAATATTGGATGGGATTTCATCCCATCATCATTTGGTGATGATATGATTTGATTGATTGACGTGATCAAAACGGCTTCGTGAAATATTTAACGAAATATTTATATCCATGAGAGTCGTGTACATGTTATTCGTTGAAGATTATCAAATATTCCAATAAATTGTTTTAAGATTTCTTTCTTTCTCCTTTATTAATTCATAAAATTCTTTGAGTAAAATTCATAAAATCTTTTACGATTACAATAATTACATTACATATAATTTCTCTTAATTAATCGCGCCGAAATATCTAAACGTTATTTTAAATATTATTTTTTTATTTGATTGTATTGTTAAAAATCTTGCAAAAAATAAGAATATTTTGAAGCAGTTCGAATGACATTAGGAAAGTACACAATTATAGTAGCTAATACATAATAAATAACAAAAAAATAAAATTAATTTAAATAAAAAATAAAATATGCATTCATATAAATAAACAAATTTTTTAATTATAATTATAATAATGAAAATAGAACTTTTGTTAAAATAGAATTTCGATTTTAACTTATGTAATTTCCTCTAACATTTCAATATTCTTTGTAATGGAATGTTGGAGGAACATGTACACAAAATTGAAATTATATAATAACATTCTAATTCGCTTCAATACATAATTAATCTTCTGTTTCACTTGCAGTCTCAGTTTCACTGTTGCTTTCGCTACTCCCACTAGAACTCGAAAAAACACTTGAATATTCGCTCGTATCGTAACATGAACAGGAACCACAGGAACTGCACGAACAGGACGAGGAATACGATGAAGATGAAAACGTTGACGATGACGAGTATGATGGCTCTTTAATAAAACTATCAAAATCCAACGACTCGTTCCTTTCTGAAAAAAAGAAAAAAATACAAGAGATTAGTTCCGGAAATATTGTATTTAGGACACGAGTGCGTGACTCTCGCGTGCGAATTCTTGGTAGAATTTATTAAACTGTCCAACACGAGAAGTGAATTTTTAGTGAAGTCTTAAGTGTGACGACGAGGATTAATTGCCTCGCGTGCATAATATTTAACGTCGTGACAAAATTCGATGAATGTTTTTAAAACATAAAGAATTCTTTGAAATGACATGCATTTAACAACAGATTTTACCTAAATCGTTTTTAATGCATTCCATTTTTCTCTTGACGACTGTTATATGTCGGCTAAGACCTTCGATAGCTTTTGCTGCTTTTAGACTCTTTTTATGTTGTTTCTTATTTTCGTAATCTTCTTTTGCTTTCAACGAACACTGATTATCAGAACATTTTGCAGAATTTTCTGGGAAGTAATTATTATTTGATGTAAATTTATTAAAAATAACTTTTGTCGATAGACTGTGTGCGTAAATATATGTATATAGAGATATATATCTCGGATATTCCTCTTACTTTCGCATTGACATTTTGTATTTTCCATGTTATTTATTTGCGACGACTTAAGGGATGTACGTAACTGGGCGCTTCCTTGCAGCTTGTTCTCGGGATTTTCTTTCTTCAAATTCTTTCCATTCGATTGGTTAGACATGCTTTTATCTGGAAAATATATACAATTAATTATTAAAACAAGTAGCAAGTTCAAGATTTTCCTTGTTACAAGAATTTATATTATGTTTTAGTATCATACTGTATTCTTTAGATTTAACATCCTTCTTCATATTATTATTGATTTCTGCTACTTCACATTTGTTCTCCATTTCGCTAAGAAGTGTCGCAGAAACTAAAAAATATTTAATTATTATTGAAGCAGTTAAGAAGAAAAGATATGTATTTTAAACATTTTTTTATGTTTACATTTCATTTTTTTATTCTCTACTTTATTTTTCGACGAATTTCGATTTACTTTGTTGCACTGCAAATTATTTTTTAAATTTACATTCATCTTTTTTTCTTCTTCAAGCATATTTTCGCTACCTGGAAAATAATATATTGTATTTTTATTATCAAGAATAATCATCCAAGATGTATGTAAAAGTTGTGAGAAATATAATCAACGTTTTATATACTTTTGGCTTGCTCTTTCGTGCTCTTCGATTTTTTCTGTATTTTTTTGCGTTGAACATTTTTCTCTGATTTATTTTCTGAATTTCCCGTTTTTGATTTTTTATTTTCTGCCGTTGATTCTTCCTTTGTCACCTTCTTTTTTCTTATTTTAGATGCTTCTTTTTTAGAGGTGCTTGTTTGCAGATCTTTTTCAGTGACATTTGTTTTGTCTTGCACGATTTTTTTAATTTTTTTATCAGAATTGACATTCTTCTTGGCGGTGGCTTTTGAAGATTTTTTAGTTTCTTCTTTTACATTATCGGTATTACGTGAGAGTTCCTGCGGAATTATTTCTTCCAAATTTACATTTGGTGTTTCCTCTTTTTCAAAGATATTTGTGCTACCTGAAAAATAATATATTTTTGTTATCAAAAATAATCATCCAAATATGTGAAAATTGTAAGAAATATAACCAACGTTTTATTTACTTTTGGCTTGCTCTTTCGTGTTCTTCGATTTTTTCTGTATCTCTTTGCACTGAATATTTTTCCTTGATTTATTTTTCGAATTTTCCGTTTTTGGTTTTTTATTTTCTGCCGTTGATTCTTTCTTTTTTACCGTCTTTTTTGCTTTTTTAGGAGTGCTTGTGTATAAATTTTCATCTGTTATATTCGTTATATTCGTTATGTCCTGCAAGATCTTTTTCTTAGTCATTTTTTTATTTGAATCGATATTTTCCTTGACGTTGGCTTTTAAAATGTTTTGGATTTCTTCTTTTACATCATCAGTATTAGGTGAGAGTTTTTGCGGAATCATTTCCATCTCGAACCGATTTTGCCTCTTTAACGTTTTGTTCTTATTTACTGTAGTGTTTGTTTCAACGATGTTGCTGTTAGTACTTGATGAAGTCCCAGGTAAATCCGTTGACAAGTTCTTTATTGGAGACTTCGTTGAGCCTTTTGTAGATCTCGGAGTTTTCTTCGCAGGAACATTACCTATTCATTCATTTTATTAACTTTATCTTATTTATTATTTATTTTACTTAAATGTATATCTTTTGATTATATTATTATAAAGGAAGATGTTATCTCTAACGGATTTTTATAATTATTTTTGTTTTATATATATTACAAAACGTTCTAAATACTTATAATTGTATTATAGTTATACTATCAGATTAGGAGAAAATTGATTTAAAATAAATGGAAAATGATTTATAATGAGAAATCAAACAAATTTTTTAAAATAATAATAAAATTTTGTTTTTTTTACCTTTAATAAGCTTTAAGAATCCCTCTTTAGCTTCAATGGTGTTCTTTTGTGTAATTGTTTCGACGAAATCATCCAGTATAGTCTGAATACAACCAGCCTCGCTATTTTTAAATTTTTCAATATCTTTCCAAGGTTCGGATTGTAAAACATGATCAATATCAAGCGAACCATCTCCACCGATGAATGACAATGCAGATCTTCTTCGCATATCTTTATTGTTATGATTTTTCATATCATGACTCATATTTGGCGATATTATTCTATTAAGAAATATTATAAGCGTCAAAATCATATAACTATATTATAATATAATCGAGAAGCAACACGTATTTTGTAGCTGTGTTTCTATAATTATAATTCTGATATATTATTATCTTATTGGTATAGAATTTGAAATAAAATTGTATACTAATTTGTACTTTTATAATATTAACAGAAGTGAAAATCACATATAATACAACTTACGTGAATCACAAAGATTTTTCTTTTATTTCGTTCCGAGATTTATTTTCTTGCAACTTATTTGAACAGTAAATCGCTGCTTCACTGTCTAGAATATAATTTTAATTAATCTTAATATTTTTAGGGAAATTGAAAAATAACTAAATTATTTCAATTTTCTACTAAAATATTAAGTGTAAGTGAAATAAAATATTATATATACATGGTATTTAAATAATAATGTAAAAAGCTACCAATTTCAACAAGAATAATGGAAAGCGTGTAACGTCGAGGAAAGACATTTCAGAACTATTTGAATTGTGTTTATATAGGTTTTCATCTTCTCAGAAATTCTTGTCGAAGGTCGGCATTCTTCCTTTGTATCTACGCTATTATTTATTTTCTGCTTGACATATGAATAATAAAAATAATATTTCTAGAACATATATAAAGAGTATACATAAAAATTATCTTTGCTCTTTGAGAATCTTATATAACAATTATAATAGTTACACAACATATCATTACATTTGACCACTTATTTACTATTTAATAATATTTAATAGATACTAAAAAACCCATTAAAATAATTTTATATATAATAATCTCATGATATAATACAATATAATATTTTACGGGAGAAATTATACTAATCTTTTTATGAAGGAATCTTTTAACTTCAATGCATCGTCTCATACGAGATGATTATAATAGTTAACGAAATTATATAAAACGTAGCATGAGTGAACTCGATATATTTTATTTGCGTCATGATCCCTGTTTTTACGTCGTAATTTCTTTATAACGTAATTTTCCTATGTTGCTATTACGATATGGCATTGTACAGGCACGCGTAGGCTTGGAGAACGTCAGAAAAACCATTATCGAGCGTGCTCTCTTGGCGGAACGGAATAGAATTCAATGACGTCATCGTGCTCGCGCACGAACCTTACACAGCTATACCAATATGTCGATCGAGTGGAATAGGGCTTCATGACGTCATACGACCCTTGATGAGCTCACTTGGTTGCAAGTGATGTCACAAGGTACTCCCTCGTCACATCGGCCGTAGCGTCATTCACTGCGCTGCAGCTTTATCCGTTTTAAATATCGAGGGAAATGAAGCAAGTAGAGAAAGCTGACACCTTTTATGAGGTAGAGATAATTTTCTCGACTATATACAGTGTTTATTAAAAAAAACGGATAAGCTCGGTCGTTATACTCCGATGGGACACTTTCTTTTTTCTTTTAATTATTAATATCCGTTAGAGAGAGAGAGAG